AAGATCTAACATGGTTGTTTTTGTAAAAAAAAGATTAATAAGTGGCAGGGTCTAGATTCAAACCAGAGTCAGCTTCCTGATCTCAACCCTTGCTCTTTCCACCATCTTATGTCACAGACCCTATGCCAGGGCTTATTTAAAAATGAGAGATTATGCCAATCACAGTGAGTAAGGAAATATATTGGAATTTATCTTTTGTATTCTTAGATATTGCCACCACTTAGAGTCGGAGCTTTGTGAAATCTTGATTTGAATGCCTCAAGTGTCCAAAGTATTCTCTTCCCATTTTAATGAAGAAACAAAAAGTTCAAGGGCCACTGGGAACATTTACTCCAATGGAGAGAAGAGAGAGCAGAGCTGGCAGCAGATACTCCTTTTCTCTGACTTCCCCTTTCCCTCACTATTTCTTGTATTTCTCCAGGTGGACCAGTCACCAGTTTGACTGATCTGCAAGAGCCTGACTCATTTGTGTTATAGAAAAATGCAACAGTGAGGGCAGTTTGGACATTGCTAGATGATATAATTTTAGCCCTGAAAGGGAGCTAAGGAAATGCCTTTTTTAGACCCTAATAAGAAAATTATGCCCTAGGGAGTTTGGTTACTTTGTCCAATATCATAAAGTCAGTGAGACTAGGGCTGGGACTAAAACCTGGGGACCCTAGTCTCTGGTTCTCACGGAAGAGTGACTACTCTTTGCTGAACTAACCTTCCAGTAGACAGGAGCTGTGAGATATGTTCGAGAACAAGGGGAAAATAACAAATGGGATTTGTTAGGGTAGTATTAAAAAGCACTCTTATTATTATTAGCAATGGCCCATATGCCCCAGCTGTAGTATAAAATGGAAGGGAAAGAATAGCCCATTTTGTCACAGCCCAAACCACTGTGGGGAATACTGGAAGCTTCAAAGTTTTCTTTGGGACAGGAACAAGACTATTTGTTAAAGCAAGTAAGTTCTGTGAAATAACTTGGTTTGTATTAGAGTGAGGGGCAGCTGTCTTCGCTGATTTCCCCCCGCCCCCATGGTTTGTCTGCTATTTAAAGAAGATAAGTGGCCCGTGATACTGCTGCATTAGATAGTATTCATGAGCATCAATCGTGCAGGAAACATGAACTACACACTTAAAAAGCATGGGTAGATAAAACTGCCTGAAGTCCTGTCTAGGACTGAAACGCTGCAATGATATGAATGGCTCTTTCAACTGAATGGCTGTGACATTTTTATATAACCCACTCTGGACAAAGCAGGATCTTCTTTTGGATCCTGCCTTATTTCTTGTCACCTTCCAATGGTCTTGGGGAAAAGAAGGTTAAATAGCTAAATTGTATACCCCCTCCCACTTTGGTGTTTGCACAGAGACACAGGAACTCTCCCAGTAACTAACGTGTGTGTGACTTAGGAATGCCAGCTACAGGGTGCATTTCTGTATAGAGATATTTCAGTGTGTGAATACAGGTTATCAGAAACCCACATTCGGAACTGGCACCCGACTTTTGATCATCCCACGTAAGTCAGATCTCCAGAAATGTGTAGCCTCATCTAATACTGGATTTATGTTTTTATATATAGCATTTAGCATGATCTGTAATAGGATATTATCATCATTACCACTACCACTATTTTGTTGTTGTTGAACATTATAATGCTGCTAACTTGGGATATATATTTTCTGCACTGTTATTCTTTTTAGCCTTTAAGGAGAATCTTTGTGAAGATAGTAGAAGAAGAATATTTGGGTTTACCTTGGAGTCTAGGGTTTTCCTTGATCATTCTATTTCACCTCCTTGCTGAGGTTCTTAGGAACTGCCCGATGCTCAGGGTTTTTACTGCCTCATGACTGTCTCTCTCAGAAGCGCTTCCTCGGGCTTTCTCTGTCTAAGCACTTAGATATTGCAGCTCCCGTTTACCAAAGTATACTTGGCTTTTAAGCTCCCCCAAAATGGGTTCCTTGTCCCAATAATTATAGACAGTAGAAGTAAGTTCAGTTCATTAAATGATTATTGAGAATCATCAATAAGCCAGGGACCATGACTGGTTTTTTTAAAAAGAAATAGGCAAAGAAAAGAAGACACTAAGATAATGCCCCTGCTCTCGAGAACTTCCAGTCCTGTCAGACACTGTGACTGAGCTAAGGTGCGCACTGTGTTTGGTCCTGCACGGGGCCTGGGACCTGGCGGGGAGCCATGTGGCCGGAGGCAGGACAGCGTCAGCAGTGGACGGTCCAGTTCCTGGGCAGAGAGCGAGCGCAGCCCATGGATGCTTCAGGAAAAGGAGTGAAGTGTGTTCTATGCTAAGATGTTTGACTTTCTTGAGGACAGAAAGCCTCCTTTGTGTAGGAAGCATTGAGTGAGGTGAGGACAGAAACAGGAGTGAGTGAGGCTGAGTCACCAGGCTGGACTGTACTCAGGCCAAGAGGACGCGGGTCCTCAGAGTCAGGCCCAGGCGCTGTGGCCGCACAGGGTGCTGGGAATGCTCCTTCTCCTACACCTCTGGCAAAATGGAGAATACGCTTTTGCCTGGGTGTCTTCTTATCTGGCCTGGCAGCTGAGGTGGGAAATGCCTGCCTGCTGCCTGAGTCTCTAGATTTACTCACAGCTCCCGGCCCTGGAGGAGGCAGGTTTTCAGTTTTGTGAAACTGTTTTACCCAGAGGAGAAATAGCCGAGGGCTGTGTTTGTTGATAGCTGTGGTGAGGAAAATGGAAACCATCCAGAAGCTGGTGCCATTACAGCTCTCAGGGAGGCTCCTTCAGTCCCCCTCCTAACCCTTACAGAGAAAACATTGGACTCTGCCTTTCCAGCTTCCCAGCTTTCAGAGCTACGAGGAAGCGGGGAAGCATGTGTGGCCTCCACTAGAGGGTGCGGGAAACCAGGACCTTTTTGTTATGCAGTTACCTAGAGTGTGACTACGGAAACAACAGAGTCACTTTTGGGAAAGGGACCCACGTGGTGGTCACACCAAGTAAGTGAGCCCAGATTCTTCTGTAAAAATAATCCCCTCCACTGTTGTTCCTACTGCAGTGCTGGACTGCTTTTTATTTCCATGGGAGGGGGCAGGATATGCCGTCCATTGAGGCCACACCTCAGGTTCTTAGATGGTCATTGTCCCAAACCTTTACCCTCCCTTGTCTCTGCATCTCTACTCACCACACTCTCATCCTCTGTTCCCTGCTCTTCCCTGAGGCTGGGTTTCCAACTCAACAAAGGATCACACAGAAGTGAGAGCTGGAAGGGACCTTGGGGAAGTCTTATTCATGTTGTAGAAGGAACCAGAGGCTCAGAGTCTAAGCATCTGTCCAAGGCCATGCTGGGCAGGCAGTTTGGGGCCATGTCAGGGTTCCAGCCCATCACCCCCACTCCTGAGCTTGGCAGAGCCACACAGCCCTCTGCTCGCATGGCCTTTGAGCCCAGCGAGAGGTCAGCTGAGGGCCAACAGCACACAGCGGTCAGAGACTGAGGGTAGAGTTTCCCCCTCAGCCCAGGACCACCGACCAGCAGGCTGTGACTTCTGTGAGCTTCACCTCTGAAGTAGGAGTGTGATCTCGGTTTGCTCCCATCTTTCAAAAATGTTATGGAAATGGTTGTGACTTTTTTTCTGTCCTAGCCTTTCCTAAAAGCAGGGCCCTGTGTAAATGAAGGTCATTAGAAAGAAAGGAACCAAAGAACTCTGGGTGCCTTGGCCTACTTCCAGGAGGTAAAGAGGGAAGGGTGAACATACTGATCACAGGAAGGGCCTGGATCCTGCCAGGAGTCTGGCCAGGGACAGGGATAGGAAGGGACCAACCCCCGGGTCCCAGGAAGAAGGCTGCGAAGGGAAGCTTCAAAAAGCAAAGGAAGGGAAAGACAGAGCAGGGGAGCTTCCAGAAAGGCACTCGGAATCCGTCAGCACAATGAACATCAAATCTCCTCTGCCTCCGTCCCTGGGCACGTTAGGAGCCCCTCATATCTGCCGACAGAGCTGCAGTCAGGCCCTTAGTGTTGCCCAAGCAGGCAGGTCGGTGGTGGTGGGGTGGGGAGTTGCTGCCCCGCTTCTCTGTTGACAGGAGTGTGTGTTTTCTCCTGGGGGCTGGGGTGAGGAACTGACCAGTTCCTAACCCGGGCTCCCATCGCTGCTCTGAGGTGATGCTCTGGGGCCTGAGGAGATGACGGCTGTGAGAGATTCCTGCACCTCAGGGAGCATCGGCCAGTGTTTCCCTGGATTGTGGTCCTGACACCCCTGAGCAGTGTGTAGGAGGAGGTCAGGGAAGACAGGTTTTAGCAAAGGCTTTCCCTGCTGTGTGTACCAGGAGGAAGCTACACACCTACATTTGGAAGAGGGACCAGCCTTGTTATGCATCCATGTGAGTATTACAGAAACGCTCAGGGAAATGTTGTAGACAGAAATATATTCTGGAAGGATATCGCAGTAATGAGAGTCTGGTCTGCTCGTTGTTGAAGGAGTCCTTTGTTGTCTGGGAGCAACGTATCAGAGTGTCGGGTCTCATGGAGGGATTGAGGCTGTGTGGACAAGCGTTTTGCAGGGTGCTTGCAGAGGACAAATGCCCACGTTTTAAGAAAAGAGATTTCATTCTTGTTTAGGTTGCTAAAGCAGAACTTTATCCCTGACAGCCAAGGATCTACCCCACCCCTCAACCCTCTAACTGAGGCTCTCTCTCAGCCCTTCCCTTAGACCCAAGAGCTATTTGTCCACCATGAGAGCATCCCAGCCAGGGTGCTGAGGCATCCAGTGGTGCCAAAGTGGGGGGAGGGGTGGGACATTTCTCCTCTGGGTGCAAAAAGATGCTTCCCTTTCTCTCCGTGTAAAGTGTTGCTGGAATCATCCTCTTATTTGCTACTACTAACTGGCTGACACCTGACATGTGCCAGTGACTACACTCTGTCCCTCGTGTAATTTTTCACTTGATGGTCATGCCCATCCTAGGGTTAGGTAGTTGTTGTTATTCCCATTTCGCAGGTGAGGAAACTGATGTTTGGGGCAAATCACACAACTAGGAGTGACAGAGCCAGAGTTTAACTCAAATCTATTTTACTGGGTTGCATTGTTAACCACGCCACTGCACTGCCACCACCATCCCTCCTGCGCTCCGTGGAGGAAGGCTCAGACCCAAAGGCCACCTTTCGGTCCTTGGTTGGCCCATCCTGAGACTTCTGTCCCTCGTGACCATGGCAGCCTTGGCACAGGACTCGGCATTTCTGAAGAGTAAAGTCGTTGGACTGGGCAGAAAGGATGCAGATACCGCAGGGAGGGAAGTAGAAATCTAGAGGGACTGGTTATTGAACCTAAAGTGACACAGAGAGAGAAATGTGTCATCAAAACCATGGAGCAGGCTGTTTAAAAAGCTCTGTTCTCAAGAGTGAGAGCTATCATGTGAGAGGGGGCCGGCCGGCCAAGGGCAGGGGCAGAGGGCAGGTATTTGTACTGCCATGTACCAGGGTGCAGACACAGCAGGCCGAACTCTCACTTTTGGGAGCGGAACGAGACTCCATGTGTTTCCAAGTAAGTGCCTGACCTTAGACTCACCAAAGACACAGAAAGTCCCTACTTTACTTTCTTATGTGATGAATCTGCACTTCCTGAGCTAATGTCTCATGTTTCTTTATGAGGCTTGGATGTTATGAAATTTGAATTCCCAGCCACTGGTTCAGTAGCGGTTTATATTCTAACAGTAGTAATTGCCAGTGGGAATTGGCCTTTTCATCAATGCAGAGGCAGACTCTTTTGCTGTTCTTAGGTTCCTCTGAGACAAAAGATCTTTATCAGGAAAGACGTTGTGACTGATTATGCCACAAAATTTATTTTTGTTACCTTCTAGTTTTCATGAGAGGTGATAAATTAAACTTCCCAAAGACCCTGGGCAGTGGACACACTCTTGCAAAACTCAGCATCTAGTCTAGAGACAGGGAAAGAACTTAATGTCAACATAATGCAACAAAAACAATAAAAAGTTTAAGAAATGAAATCATAGCAATTTAAAAGAGAAATGAAATAGTCCTTATAAAAGAAGACAAGAGAACAAGACTGCATTAAGATGTAATTAAATATTTAGAGGGCCTTCTTATTCAATGTATTTACTGAGCAACTATTATATTCTAAGCACTATGCTCCAGGCGAAAAAGGGAGGGAAGAAGGACCATGCAGACCTCTGCCTCTCCAGATCTCGCTGGGGTAAACTCTGCACAGAGACGGTTGTGCCAGCATCACCATGCTGCCATGGAGGCACATACAAGTCACAATGGGAGCAGAAAGGAAGGTGCTGGACCTCCCAGGCTAGCTGCCTGATACCTATATCCATCCTGCATGGCCCCGCAAACCCCGTGGCCAGCACCCTCCCTCCTTCAACCTTACACCTCCTCATCCTAGCATAGGTGTCACTGAACACATGATTGTTGAAAAAAGTCAGGGAAGGCTTGAGTGGAGGTGAAGTGACTGTTTAGAATCTATTGGCTTGGACCAGTGGTCGACCAACCGCGGCTTGCAAGCCACATGCGGCTCTTTGGCCCCTTGCGTGTTCTAATACCACTTCTTCAAAATAGACTCACCCAGGCCGAAAACCAATTTCTGCGAATGGGCCACAAAGTTTTAATCGCATTGTACGTGCGCTCGCACACACGTGGTATTTTGTGAAAGAGCCACACTCACGGGGCCAAAGAGCTGCATGTGGCTCAAGAGCTGCAGTTTGGCGACCACTGGCTTAGACAGTAGCAAGTATTCTCCAACGGAGGTGTTAGACATCAAAGCAAGGAAATTACAGAATCCATCCAAATGCTCACTGTGGGTAAAGGAGATCACATCTCTCCAGGGGAACTTCCTCCCTGTTTATCTGTTCATTTGTTGTTTCATCAAGGCCTGTGCGGGCTGCATTTAGAAAGCTTGGAACCCATCATATTTCTCAAGATCCACAGTTCAGAGGCATAACTGAAATACCTGTGATAGGGAAGCAGCACAAATGGGTATGGGTTTGAGCAGCAAAGGGAGAGAGGCTTAATGATAACTACATGAAGTCTATGCAGTTATGTGAATATTCCCATGGCAATTTTAACCTGTCTTTCTCTGCCCTCCAGGAACCACCCTCTAAAAGGGGTGTCCTTCATAGGCCTCCATTCCATGATTAAGCCCTACCCATCTTTTCCACTGTTATAAAACTTCCCTCAAGATTCATTTCCAAAATTAATCCCTGGTTCTTCTCCAGGCTCTTCCAATTCAGCTGTGGGACCCAGAATGGGCATCCACCCTCCAGAAGGCCAGTCCAGCTCAAGCTGGCTTTGAGGGATAGGTCCGTGGGGTGGTTACAAAGGAAGCTGAGGAATTGGACTCAGTGAGGCAGACTTCTCTCATGCGTCAGAGACAGGGGGATTTGGAGGAGCCTGTAACACAGGGACAGGAAGCATTGCTGCCCAGGAAGGCTGACCCTGCCTGGGTAGAGTTCTTGTAAAGCACCCTCCTATTGTGTAGCATCTGGTGGCTACAATAAGCTGACCTTTGGAGCCGGGACCAGGCTGGCTGTACACCCATGTGAGTAAATCCATGCAAATGACCAGAGTAAAAGTAACTGATCACTTGTCTATGAGAAAACAGGCAATGATTTATGACAAAGCCAGGGATAAATGGAACATTTGTTTTCCATTTTTATAAGCTCTCGGTGACTTAAAATGTTCCCATTTCTAATATTCAAGACAGAAGTGCCAAGAGCCAACAGAGTAAATAAAAATCTGAGCTGAATAATTCATGAAAACATAAAAAGAGTTCCAGATACCTGGTGCTATCAAGCAAAGCCTATGACATCAGCACCAGGTAATATGAACATTCAGGAAATCAGCTAAGTGTCCTTGGGGGGAAAGAGATGGTTAATGGCAAACACAAATTCTCTCATATTGCAGGAGGTAGCTAAATTCCCTGGTTTGGCTAATGAGCAGAATCTTCCTCTCTGGAGTTTAAGTGGAGTTTTGAACCTCTCTCAGGATAAAGGTGACTCCAATCCCTATTTAAACAGCAGTTGTACCTTATGAAATAATAAGGCATGGAGGCAAGATGGTAGGGGTTTATAGCGCAGCTTGGGAGACTGGCAGATCTGGGGGAAATTCTGTCTCTACTCTGTCTAGCTAATAGTCTCCACTTTCTCAAAAGCAAAATGACAATAACCACATCATCATAATATGAGACAACACCCAGTACATAGCAAGTAATCAACAAATGACAGCTTTTCTAAATTATTATTATCATCAAGGTATTGCTGTATTAGAGTTTACATATTACAAAAGGAAAGGGGAACAGCTTCCCTGGGAAATAGGAAGTGTAAGAAACAAAGACCCAGGGAGACTTTTAGGATGGTGCTCTCAGATCCTGGTGGGTTCCAGCAGTTTAACATCAGGAAGGTTATTGCAAAGTCCTTACTTGTAGTGGGAAAATACTGGTGTTAACAAGCTCATCTTTGGAGCAGGGACCAGAGTGCGTGTCCAGCCAAGTAAGTAGAGTGGGGCAAGGGTGGACATTGACATCTAATTCATTTTTGTCTAAGATGCTGAGTTGAGCCCAGGTATTTTCTTCAGTAAGATCCCACATGGTTCTTTCCACTTGTCCCTCAAATATCCTCCCATCTAGCCCTCAATGCCCCAGAAACATCCTTAGTCTAGGACCTAAATAATCATGAAGCAGTGGTGGGCAAATAGTCATGGGCCATCCATGAAAAGATCCAAGATACTGCTCCCCTGAGCAGGGGGTTCTGCTCTACTAAATTATTGGTTTCTTAAAATCACAACCTCCAACCCAGAGCACTATATCAAGATGGGGCAGGAGGGAAAGGATTGAACACACCAGAGACAAAATCTCAACACAAAAGAGCAGAAGATCTAACTCTAAAGAGTGTGATTCTCTAGTTTTTACGGAAAAATCAATGCTTTTCTTATTAAAGTAGGAGGTAGGGCCAGTGAGTTTCTGTGATGGTGTCAACTGTAGTGTGAATCTGGAGGAATGACTGGTAAACTCATATTTGGGAAAGGAACCCAAGTGTCCATAATATCTGGTGAGTCATCCCAGATGGCACCTCTTGCCACCCATGGTCCATTGCCACTAATCCTTGCCCTTAGGATCTTGGTGATTACTATGGTGAAGCCAACTGTGGGTGTTCTGATTGTCCTACAGAGACCTTTGTGAAGGGAGAAGCCATCATTATTGATCTTTAAAGTCTGTGTTTCTCTAGGTCAAACACATTAATTAAAATTGAACTCTAATTGTCCAATGGGTATTTTTAAATGCCTTCAATATGGCCATCACTCTATTAAATATTAGACTGAGTATAGAGATGTCTTAGATAGATTTCTGACCTGTACCAAATAGGATAAAAACTAGCAAAAGGGACAGAACTATTGTAAATTCAGTAACCTGAAGACTATTTTAGTATTGACCAATGTCAATAGGGACATTAGAGATTCAGAGGAATAGTGTCTTGGCCAGAAAGTTGGCCTAGATGGAGCTAGCTTTATGCTGTAGAAAAAGGTTTCTTGAGCCTGAAAGATAAATAAGATCTATATGAACAAAGAAAGGAGAGAGTGGGTTCTAGGCACAAAGAACAAAAAGAAAGAAGTCATGATCTTAAGATTAAATAAGGCACATGCACTTGTGCATAAGTAAATACATCTGATAATAAGGTTAGATGGAGAGAAAGGCAAAAATGTCTTCTTAGGCAATGAAGAAAATGAATATGATAGCCTTCAAGAGAATACAGTCAAGGCTATGGCAAGCCACTAGGAAATGGAATCCAATTTAGAAATGCAGATCAGATATGGAGGTGAAGGAACAGCTCTTTCCATGGATAGCTCAATGGGCTGGGAGAAAAATTAATTACCCCATTCCTCAGAAGAGGATAAACGAAAGGTTTCTGTAATGAAGATATTGGAAGTGTATGGCAGTTTTGCCTCCCAGTTGCAATATGGCAAAGGCACCAGAGTTTCCCTCATTCCCAGTAAGTCTTCCCAGGAAGTGTTACTGCTTCCTAATGCTCACCAGAGCCTCAGCGGGATTCAGTCAGTTTCTCTTACATTTCTGGGTTCCTAGGATCTAACTGCAAAGCCCAGATTTAGTGGTAAGGAAGCTTTCGATCACTGTTGTGGCCTTAGGGACCTAAAGCACAGAGCATTGGGACACATGCTTTTGCAGTTAGTTTTTAATTCAAATGAAAGATTAGGATCTATTGTAGAATAGCTGAACTTCCATGTTGGAAAATTGATCCAGTCTCGTTAGTGCTACCTTTGGAGATACCATCTATGGTAGGACATGTTTATCTTGCTATGGTAGTACAGAATGCTCCTCTCCCAGAGCCTTAAAGTCCTCAAAATTAAAAGTAACTTATTTCTTGTTTTCTGATAAAAATATTGAGGTTGCACCAGAGGTCCATGGGAGTAAAAATAAACCGGGGCTTAAAAAATCAAGTTTAAGGATGAGTACCCAGCTTCTTTAACCAAAAAGCCTAATAAGCAGAAATTTGGCAAACATGATGGTCAATAGCCCATATATTTATTCAACAATTGCTTCTTGAGCACCTCATAAGAGGTAGATACCAGGGATGCAGCACTAAACCAGAGACTGGCCTGTACTGTCACGAGGCTAACATCCCAGGAAGCCAATGCTCTTATAGGGCATATAAAGGGCTTGAGAGAGGAAATTCAAGATTTGGAAGGTTATGGCAAACCCTGAATGTCATGCCAAGAAGTTTGGCCATTATTCAACAGGCTGTAGGAAGTCCTGGATTATTTAGAACTGAAAGTACTAGGCAAGTACTTTGGAGGATGAGCTCAAAGAAGAAACTGAGAAGGAGGACATGGGGAGAGGATGAGCAAGGGAGGAGATCAGAGGTAGGGAAGATGAACAGGAGAAACAATAGCAAAAAATGCGGATAGGGATGCCCAAAGGGTATTAACTGGTAAAAACTGGATGAGAAAAAAGCTAAAAATCGCCTCAATTATTTTGACTGCATTTATTGCTGTTTTATTTTGATCTCTCATCAGCAAAGCTGAGCAATTGGTCTGCCCCTGGTAGTCACCCCTCACAAACTTAAGGATAACATTTAAGTCTCACACTCAATCCCTACTATCTTTCCTCTAAGTCTCATGATCCATGGCATTGCTCTCTCCAGACTGATGCTTTCCAATAGGACTTCTTGTGATGGTGGAAATGTTCTCACAGTCTGCACCATCCAATACAGCAGCCACCTCATAAAATGAGGTTTTAACTTTTAATTGAATTTTTAAGTTTATTTAATTTTAGTTAACATTCATTTAAATAGTCACATGTAGCTAAAAATTATCATTCATATTGGACAGCATGGTCTTGACCTTCTCCAGACTGATAGCCATTGGCTCTAAGTGTTTAACCAGGACTCAGAGTTGGGCATCTGACCCCCACAGCCATTCTGCTCCCCCTCAGGCCAAACTGCATCTGGTGGCAACTTGTCCTCTGCCTTCTTCTTGAGGCCACATTCTCTCAGCATCTCCACCCCCTTCCATGCTCCCCTTCCCAGTCACACCCACGACTCCCACTGATGACTACAAAATCCTTTGGGGTGTGTTGATACTGCTAATGACTTCCCATCTCTCCCCTCCCAGTAAAAAGTTTATGTCATAGGGCCTTATCCCATGGTGATGCCAGGTCCCACAGTATGCGGGAATTGGAGGAAAGCTGGCAGAATCTTTCCGTTTCCAAAGCTTTGGATGTTTCTTACATGAGGCCATGGACCCAGTATGCTCTGCTGCTCCAGGGGTCGCCCCACCCACAGGCAGTTCTGCCTTGACTCAGCATCCCAAGACCATGCCAAAGGCTGATTTCCCATTTCAGGTCCAGTTGGATGTCTGCATTGCCAAGGCCACCCTGGCTGGCTCAGCAAGTGGGGTGTAGCACTGGTCTGAGAAGCCTTGTGTGCATGGTGAGGAGCTGTGGGAGCAGAGAACCACAGGGGCAGGAAACTGTAGTCTCAACCCTGCTGCAGTCTCTCTGGGTGGCCCCAACGTGTTAATCCTCTGCTACTTCCTCTAAAGGCAGGTGGTCTGAAAGAACAAATAATGAGAATTACACTAAAACACTGAACCATACAGAAATGCTGAAAAAATTATTCTCAGCCCTTAGGAAAGGCCTTCAACAACTCCTGCTTCCTGGGAGTGAAGAGTAAAAACTCTGCATTACTCGGTAGCACATTGTGGTAACAATATCCTGGTAGTATCAGTAGCTACAACTACTTACGTCTGTTCAATACTTTACAGTTTATTAAATATAATTTTATATGGAGAAACTCTTATTAGTTTCTCAGAAAAAGCCTACTTAGGAAAGTGAATGAGGTAACATCTTCATTTTACAGATGAAATTCCTGAGAGTGAAGGGGTGGTATGACTCGCTCAAGCTTGTATCTGGTAAATGGGAGAGCCAGGGGTTGGACAGAAGTGTTTGATTTATAATCCAGAACTTCTATAGATATAAGAAATCTCCCACTAGTGTGACCCACCTTCTAACTTAATTCCAACCTATTGTAAATTTTTAGATCTTACCAATGCCCAGCATACGTGTAGGAGACCAAGCTAGATTCCAAAATGTACGGTTTTCCTTGCCGGGACTTCTCTGTGCTCCCTCATCCTGCCAGAGTTGCGTTCTCTACCGGGCCTGCTGAGCATTTGAAGAAGTTCCCATTGAGTGGAAGAGTTAGTGGGCCTTCATTTCTGGTTTCCTAGAATGACAGGCAGGACCTGGCAGAGGGCATTCACTGAGAACCTGGCCTCTTGGCCAGGACGCATGGCTTGTACCTGTGCCTGAGTCCCAGTCTGTTGCAAGCAGATAGTTTCTAGGATGTTCTTTTCCACCCAAAGCTTGAAAATGTGAACTGCCAGGCCCAGTGAGCCCTGCTCTTGTCCATCACTGGCATCTGGACTCGGGCCTCATTTGGGGCAAGGAGAGAAACGAGCATCTCCTAACCCAGTTTTTTTTGGCCCACAGATATCAAGAACCCTGACCCCGCCGTGTACCAGCTGAGAAGCCCTAAATCCAGCAACACTTCCGTCTGCCTATTCACCGACTTTGATTCTAAAATCACCAATGTGACACAAGAACCGGGAGTGTTCGGCTCTAGCAGCACGGCACTGGACATGAAGGCCGTGGGTTCAAAGAGCAACGGGGCACTGCGCTGGAGTGCCAGCTCTCATTTCTCCTGTGAATCCACCTTCAACGAGTCCTTCTACTCCAGCTCAGGTGAGTACAGCTCCATGCCTGTGCAAGCAGAGTCTTCACCCTGAGCCTGGCTAGGCTGGGGCTGTCTCAGGCAGACGGTATCTAAATGCTGCTGTGATTGGTGGCCTCAGCTTCATCAATTGTCAGCAAAGCCTCCTTGTTACTGAGCACCAGTGAGCCCCATCCCGGCAGGCCACAGAATGTCCTGGGCAAAAAGAGAAGGGGACAAGATGGCAGGAGAGGGCACTGGCTCTCGGTCTCACTCACTCTGAGTTCCCACCTCCCTGCCTCTGCTTGAGCTGTTTGCCCCTTACCACTCTTCCAGGCCCCATACTAATGCCCTTCTCCAAGTCGTCCCCCCCCCCTTTGTTTCTTTTTCTCCGCCAGCACCTGACTTCACTCTGTCACTCCGCCATTCAACAACCGCTGATTGTGCATACATGGGATGGAGGAGTAAAAAAGCCCAGGGAGGGATTTTGAGGGAAACCATCCGTCAGCAAGGAGAAATCTATATAGCCTTAGATTATAGTATATATTTAACTCGGAGTTAAGGAAACAGCCACCTTAGGGACAAAAGTCAGGAAAGGGCTCTCTGGGGAAATTTATTTGAGCTGAGATATAAAGGATAAGAAGCTGTGCCAAGGGCAGAGAAAGGACCCTGTGGAGGCTTGAGGCAGGAGCTGAGTGAGAGAGAAGAAGAGCGACAGGAAATGAGAGGGGAAAAGTAGGCAAGGGCCAGATCAGAGGGCCTCTCGGATCATGGGAGGACAGATACTGTTCTAATTAACGTGAGGAGCTATGGGCTGGCTTTATGCAGGGAAATGACATTTGGTTTACTTGTTAAAAGAGCACTTTGACTGCTGGTGAGAATTAGATTGCAGGAGCAAGAGTGGAAGCAGAAAGGAAGCTAATGCAGCAGAGAGATGAGGGAGGTCGGGACAGGGTCCCCTAGTTGGGACTCAAAGGTAGAACCATGCAGAGATGAGGAGGAAAAGAGGGTATCAAGGAAGGTGGCAGCTGGACTTTATGCCTGAGCAGCTGAGTCAGTGACAGTGTCATTTGCTGAGACAGAGAAAATAAAGGAAGAAATTTGGGGTGCAGGGATGGACCACATTACAGCATCTACACCCCTATGGCACTTGTCACTGTGTGTACCTTATTGCCTCTATCAGACTCCAGCCTGGAAGCTGCCCAAGGGCAGGGTCTGTGTCTCACGGTTCCGGTGGCCTTGTGTCATGTAGCATGAACTTTGCACAATCAGTGTTTGTTAAGTGAGGGAAGTGGTGCCCAGAAGTCAGGGTGTTGGTCCAGGAGCTCTCCCAGCAGGTGCTCACATGTGACAAGTTCCTCCAGATCTCTCCACGAGGAAATATAGAAAAGGCTTCAGACGCTCACTTGTCCTACTCCTAGGAGGTCTGAAGTGGGAGAGTCGGCACACTCTGGACTCTAAGAAAATTTCTTTCTTTTTTTTTCCCTCTCTCCTTTTAGAAATTCCCTGTGATGCCACATTGATAGAGAAAAGCTTTGAAACAGGTAAGAGAGGGGTCTGTCCTCTCTTTGCATGGCTTTGCAGGGGTTTGGGGAGCAGGGAGCCCATAGTAACCCTGCCTGGGTAGGGGAGGTGGGAGGGAACTTGTGGATCTGGGAGTGACATCATGAGGAACAGGAAGAGCAGTTCAAGCCCTCCCCAGAGCAGCCCGGGGTCTTTCTGGATCCCCAGGTTCTTCTCATCATGTCTCATTTTCTTCTCCATTCTGAGAAATGGGAGGGTGAGTCTCTAGTTTGACTCAACCAATGACTCACTTCTACGCTTCTGTATGCCTTTCGATCACTCCACTGTCAGGAAAGCCAACAAGAGCTTCTGGGTGGCCCAGCTGTGAAATTTCTGATGAGCTTATAGCCCTAAATTGACCAGGTCACCCTGAAGGCAGCAGCCCTCCATGCCAGGGGGTTTTGCCTTCTTTCAAGAAAAGCAGCAGAATTCATGGAGATGGTGATCTTCTCTCTCAAGGACCCCATCACTTCTCCCCACCTCCCCTGGGCCCATATTCATTTCCACTTGAGCTGTTTTTATGAGTCATCCGCTTGTGGCTCAACCACTGGGTTCTCACTTAGGGGCCCAGACCCAGAGGATTGCAGTGAGTTCTGAGCAACCACCTCCTTCCTCCCCATCCCCTGTGGAGCTCAGAAATAAAGTAAGGACTAAGTGGAGTTGCTGCTTCCCTTTTGAAATGAAATACTATTAATTCCAAGAAATGTACAAAACTTTAGGAAGGGATGTGCACAGAAGCTCAAAGGAGAGGTGGATCCAGGTGCTGAAAGCCACTCCACTCTGCCTTCGGGAAAGCCATTGGTAGACCATAGGGAGCTGTGCAGACTTCAGGTGTACGTGCTTACAAACCACTGTGGCCTCTTGGTTTTGCAGATATGAACCTGAACTTCCAAAACCTGTCCGTGATCGGGCTCCGCATCCTCTTCCTGAAAGTGGCCGGCTTTAACCTGCTCATGACGCTGCGGCTGTGGTCCAGCTGAGGTGAGCGGGCATCCCAGCCAGTCGGTGGGGCTGAGGGTCTTGGGGTGGGACCCCAAGCTCTGAAAGCAAACCTGTCCTCAGGATCTTCTTTTTAGGTGCTAAGTCTGGGCCCACCAAACTCCTCCTTTTTTTTTTTTTTTTTCCTGTTAGGAGTTCCTCTTGTTAATAATCATGACCTAAGACATTTGTTTAACACAATACATTCCTCGGATGACAAAATTCACCTCAGTTGAGTCATGTCTCACAAATAATGAGCAGTGGCTATTATCCTCATTTTGGAAAGAAAGAAACTGGGGCCAAGTAATATGAAGAGCCACACACTAATGAGTGGGGGGGGAGGAGGGAAATAGAGAAATTTAGGACCCTGACACACATTTATAGTTCTACTATACTTCCATCATGCCTATAGTTCTACAATACCTTATATCACATCCCTTTCACTGCAAAACCTGAAGGGGTTCCCAATTCCTTTTCTCATGTTCTGTACCTCCAATATAGTGAGAATAAATTACCCTCTTATTATTATACTAGAGGCCCGGCACATGAAATTCATGCAAGGGGGTGGGGGTCCTCAGCCCAGCTTGCACCCTTTCCAATTCGGGACCCCTTGGGGATCGACCTAAACCAGCAGTCGGACGTCCCTCTTACAATCTGGGACTACTGGCTCCTAACCACTCACCTGCCTGCCTGCCTGCCTGATCACCCCTAACCACCTCTGCTAGCCAGCCTGATCGCCCATAACTACCCTCCCCTGTAGGCCTGATTGCCCCTAATTGCCTCTGCTTCAGCCCCCGCTACCATGGCTTTGTCCAAAAGGACATCCAGAAGACGTCCAGTCTAATTAGCATATTATCCTTTTAATAGTATAGATTATACCCCAATCCTGGCAGGAATCTCCCTCTCCTTTTCCCCCAGTGTCCTTGGTCATTCTACTGACCAGTACATTCCTTCCTACCACCATAAGAAACAATTCCAGAGACCATTTGCTCCTAAAACTCTACAAATGGAGGCATCTCCATCACATCCCCAGCTGTCCAGGGTCTGTCTCCTCAGTATCCTGCCTGACTTTTGTTCTTCCTCATTCAAGGTCAGCAAGAATGTGAGAGCCCAATGCTCCTCACTGCTCGCTCCTCGCCATCCTTCACTCCCTCAAGAAGAGACGCGCTCTCAGCCTCCATGAAGGAGAAGGCTTCATCCACCTCTAGGGCCCCACTGACAATGCCACCAACTGGATCCTACCAGATATTTGCAACCAAGATGTTGAAGAGCTGCCAAACGCTGCTACCTCTCCTTCTGTCTCTCCCCGCCCCCCCCCCCACCCACCCACCCACTGCTGCCTGTACTGCCCCATGTTCCCAGCAAAGGCAGGGGCTCCTGCAGCCTCTCCTGGCTGTGGCCCCCCTACCCCTGCCAGAGGCTGCTTCTGCTGCCCCGCTGGGTGGTGGGTCACCAGGGGGTTCTCTCAGGTTCTAGCTCCTGGAGAATGTTGAGAGGAGTTTATATTTTTTTTAAATAATGTTCATAAAGAAATATATATCACGCTTTTCCCCAAGATGTGGGGGAAATTATCTCATTACCTAGGCCCTGCTGTGCTGTGTATCTGAGCCACATTGTATATTCTGCTGCCCTGGCTTCATTAAAAGTGACTTGGAAGAGCAAAGACTGTCTCCTGTTTGACTGGGTCTGGTCAGGGTCACATTCAGCTCACTGTTGATCACTAGCCGAGCAGAAGGAAACCAACACATTTGTCTCTGATGACATCCAGGGAGCTTAACTCAACAAGCTGCATAAGTCAACCTCTTCTTGGAATAACCTCTAAAAAATTCCACTTACAAGACTGTGCTGGGGGCAAGGCAAACCCACTTAAAAGCTTGGGTCCCTATTTTTCCGTTTTCATGCCACACCATGGGGCCACTTGTGGCAGGAGGCCCACGGACATCGGTGGTAGCAACTATAGTTAAAATTTGGCAGACAGGGACCACACAGCAAGTATCCCTGAGTGCCACCCACTGCCTCCCGTCCCCCAGGAACATTGCCTTTGCCTTTTCTTTCAGACTGATTTCCCGTAGAAACTGTACATTGCCCCACAAATTCATGGCTGGTGACCACCCAATAGTCCACCACCTGGGTCCCAACCCAGTGCCCAGCCCCTTGGGGGGAGGAGGGGAGATTGTGACCCAGCTAGACTTTACACTCCCACCATCCTGGATGTGGGGATAAGAAAGGGGGAGATGAGCTCTCTGCCTTCGAGCCCAGGAACTAAGTCAAGGAGAATAGATGTCTCAAGCCATCCCTGGAGGACAGACGGTGGGATTCCCTTGGGACCCAGGAAACTCCTGAGCCTCCTGCTGCCTGAGCACCTTTCCTCTACTGGTAACACCCCTCAGAGATCACTTGGCCATTCAGCTCACAATCACTGCTATCAGGATTAAAGCGTAGCCCAGCCTGCATGAGCCTATGAGCCAGGAGGTCACACTTCAATTCCCGTCACATGCCTGGCTTGCAGGCTTGATCCCCAGTGTGGGGTGTACAGGAGGCAGCCAATAAATTATTCTTTCTCATCATTGATATTTCTCTCTCTCCTCCTCTCCCTTTCTCTCTGAAATCAATAAAAATATTATAATTATAATAATAATAATAATAATCAGACTAAAGCCTAGTGGTCTGTGGGCACTCTATCTCCAAATACCTCTATGATGCACCTGCATGTCTCTGACCACATCAGCTAGAATCATGCAAATCCTCCCGGCTACAATCCAGGCAGTTTCTGTTCACAGCAACAGAGCCACCAGTTCACTAGGTGACCTGGGCATATCCCCCCCCTCTATAAGCTCCAGGGTCACCACCTGTAAAATGTCAGCTAAGACTGGAGGCTGCCTCCAGCTCCATGCACCTCTGATCTGGTGGTACCTGTGAAACTCCATTGTCCGTGTCCTGGCCAGCCTTACCGAGCATAGTTACGATCCCCAGTGCTCGCTGAGGCACTTCATCTGCAGCCTCAACACAAGTCCTTTTAGAGATCACTAATAGGAAAGGTCTTCGTGGAAGTCCCATCCCAGCGGCTCACTCACGTGTGGGAGGACCGGAATCTCCCTCCCAAAGCAGGGTCTGCCGCCTGCTCATCAGGCTGCCACAGGCCAGCGAATCCATCATTGGGGGTTTCTTTTAATTAATTCTCTTCCCCGTATTAGATGAAAATGTCCCTGGGAGAGCTAATAGGGCAAGTGTTTACCAACCGTTAAAAACTTAGCACAAATTAGTTTGTCTTCTTTCTCTCCTAAATGGTCATTCACTTTGGCCTGTATACAAAAGATCAAGCAAAGGACAAGTAGGTGGCCAGGGAGGAGGGTCTGCTCCTGAGAGTTGGTTGCAAAGATACGGAGGCTGAAGGGGACACGGGCTTGGAGCAGGGACCCTGGGAGGCAGTAAAGGGGCCAAAGACAGGCCCCTCCAAGGACCCTGGAGGAGGCCCAGACCGAGGGAGGCCAAGGGAGCCTGTGGAGGGGTGTGAGCCCAGGGCCTCAGGAGGCAGGGCCCGCAGTCACCGGACTCCTAAGGCCACCCGAGGACGTGTGAGGTAATATGGCAGCGGCTGGGGATCCACCCAGACCCTGGAGGGAGTCAGGCCTCCTCCTCCCAGGCCCTGTCCAAGTTGAGGGTGACAAGGCCGCAGGCAGGGTGGAGGCCTAAGAAGCTTCCACCTCAAACCAGGGGTTCCTCAATCCCAGAAAGAACTTTCCTTCAAGTCTGAGGCTAAAGAACTTTCCCCCAAGTCTGTTAAGCCTAAAGCCCATGAAGGCCCAGTCGGAAAGCAGTCCAGGGGTCACCGGGTGCGCTGTGGGGGGAAGTGGGTACAGAGACACCCCTTTGTCCACACTTGCAGGATTAAAGCGTAGCCCAGCCTGCATGAGCCTATGAGCCAGGAGGTCACGCTTCAATTCCCGTCACATGCCTGGCTTGCAGGCTTGATCCCCAGTGTGGGGCGTACAGGAGGCAGCATCTGGCCCAGCCCCACTGGGGACGTCGGAGGAAGTAAAGTGGCCTTGTGAGGAGGCCCAGGGGGAGGGCTCTGTGCCCGCTCGGAGGGTCAGCGCTGGGCTCAGCCACAGCAGAGCCCTCTGTGCAGCGGGACCAGGTGCCGTCCAGCCTGGAGGGAAGAGGCCACAGGGGAAACCTGGAGACCCGGTCACCAAGTCCGTCCGGAGGCCCTGCCTCGCAGAGCCAGAGTCCCCATGAGCAGGACCCAGCTTCAAGGAGGGAAGCTGCCCTCCCAGCCGAGCCCGTCACAAAGACCAGTTAGAGTAGGGGTGTCGAACTCAATCAGAGAAGGGGCCAAAATCTAAAATCCAGCCTAAATCGCGGGCCGAATGGTTTACTGAACAGTCATAAACTGTCATTGTGATGGAAACGCAGCGGAGTGCAGTGATGACAGCGCTGTGCAGGCCACATTGCAAGGCCTGGCGGGACAGATTTGGCCCGTGGGCCTTGTGTTTGACACATGTGAGTTAGAGAATGGGTGTCTCTGGACAGAAGGGCTACTGCCCCAAAAGGCTTCCCCTCCGGCCAGCTCTGGAGGCAGAAGAATGGACCAAATGGCTTCTCGTGAATCCAGGCCTCAGATTCTAGAAGATTCTCTGACCCTTCACACAGAGACCTGCCCACTGAGGACAACTGGAATCACGGTCCAGTCCGGAGAAGGGCAGACTGAGCAAGCGCGCGCTCCAGGAACACGGCTGCCGCGGCCCTCCCCTGGAGAGGCAGCCGCCTGCGTCTTGAAGGATTTTTTATCGTCTTGGTTTGCCAATAAAATTCAACTCCCCGAGGGTTACATGGAAAGCCCTTTACAGATATCACCTCAGTTGTCAGGAAAACATCTCCGCAAGAAATGCCCCTGGACTGTGAGCACTGTGGATGGGATGTGCACCTCACTCGTCCCGTGTCTGCAACACCTAGCACAGTGCCTGGCTCACAGTGCGTGCCAAACACACACCTCACTGGCCAAAGGATGAATAACGCGATTAGTATGACTGGGCACTCGGGAGGGAGCCAAGTGAGAGGGGGGCGCATGAGAGAAGGGAAAGGGGGCTTGATGGAGGGGGTGGCCTGTCAGCAACAGCAACCTGTCAAGAGCTATCAGGGAGCCCTGACCAGTTTGGCTCAGTGGATGGAGCACCCACCTGCAAACTGAAGGGTCCAGGGTTCGATTCTGATCAAGGGCATGTACATTGGTTGTGGGCACATCCCCAGTGGGGGGGGGGGGGTGCAGGAGACAGCTGATCGGTGTTTCTCTCTCATCAGTGTTTCTAGGTCTCTATCCCTCTCCCTCCTTCTCTGTAAAAAAAACAATAAAATTAAAATAAATTTTTTAAAAAACTATCAGGGAAAGTGAAACCTCAGGCAATGCCCATGGCCAGCGCAGCCCCCACGGCACTCAGCTAACACATCCTAGAGGGCGGTTCCTCTGGGAAGGCAATGGGGCATCCAGGGTCAGCACTCTGGTCACTGAGGGGCCGTGGCTGAAGGTCCAACATCCAGGGCTGACGGTCCCATTGCCACGCCACCTCTCATTCTCCACGTCTTATCTCAACACCCCTTCTCTGTCTGCCTCTGGGGACAATGTGTGGGCCAGGGGAGCCAGCGCGGTCTTGCTGTTAATAACTACCCTGGTTGATGAGGGCCCTGCTTCTGTGCAAGGCCACCTGGTTTGCAGGCTTGTTTCACCCAGACACATATGCGTGAGGTTTCCTCTGAGCATCACATTAATTTTGAAATTAATAAACAGGTCAGACAGTGAATCTGTAGCCAGAAGTAGGGCAGGAAATAAAAAAAAAAAAAAAAAAGCCTCCCACTTCCCTCCAGGTGTTTGGGGGCTGGGGACAGCCCCTTCCCATTTCCATGACGTCATGGTTGCCGAGAGGGGTAAGTAGGGCATCCTTTGAAGCTCTCCCGCAAAAGCCACATCCTCTGGAAAGAAGAGTTAAAAATACTGAGTTAGAGATACCATCGCCCGAGGCCACGTGCCGAGGCCAGACGGGCTGGGCCGTTACACCGCGGACCGCAGGTGCGGTGCGGCAGGAAGGCCCCACGCAGGGGGTCGGGCAGGCCCCGGGCTGACTGGCAGCCCCGCCCAGCAGCAGGCTGAGATGCTGAACACCCCCTCCCTAAGAAGCCTCCCCCGCCCCACCTCTACACCCCCCTCCTGAGCCAAGCCCCAAGATCAAACCTTGATCTCACCTAATTAAGCCCTTGCTTAATACAAGACAGGCCCCCGAAGCTTCAGTCCATCTCACCTTGAGGCCCGCCACATCTGTCCACAAACAGCTGGAGCAGGTTCTAAAATTTAAAAAATTTAATAAAAATAAAAAAAAGCCTCCATTCCAGGCAAGGCCGGAGTGATGGCCCTCACTGACATCTGCTTCTCGAGGACCAGAACACCAGAATTCAGGAAGCGAGGTGGCAAGGGGCCTGAAAGCTCAGACCAGAACCTAAGGCCCAGGGAACGCAGGACTCCTGCACTGTGGTAGTGTCCTCAGCCATCCACCTGGGGGCAGCAGCGCTCCACCAAAGAGGCCTCTGTCTCCTTAGTCTGTTCAATCTGGGGATAGAAAGTCCCCAAAGCTTAGGATAACCTCTTTTCCAAGGAAAATAAAGGGCAGGTGA